CCCACTCAGCCCACCAGCCCGCAGTCCCCCCGCCCACTCAGCCCACCAGCATGTGAGCAGTTCTGCCCGGGGAAACCTGAAGCTGACACTGGCCTTCCTGGGAGAAAGCAGGCCTCTGAGGAGGGAATCCCCCTTCGAGGTCCGCCCGGCTCTGCAGCAGCCCTTCCTGTGGAACTGGGGTCACTGGTCCCCCGGGGCCAGCGGCAGGTGGAAACCTGCAGAGATCTGCGCTGTGTTTCACACTCTCCCACTGAGGTTGCTTCATTGAAGGAAATGCACACGAGAACCCATGTATGTCACTCACCCTCTTACCAACGGCAAATGCGGCAAAGACGGGTAATGGGAAGTGAGCCCCCCCCCATCTGTGCAGTCGTCCACGGCACGCTTAGCCGGGTGCTCACACGTTGCCCATGAATTGCAGCTTTCTGTGCTCTCTGTCTTGGCAAGAGGTCTTTGAATTATTTCTAAAACATGTTTAGCCCTGAAAAAATTGTTTTCAAAATTATTTCTGGTGTCCGGCTGGTGTCGCTCAGTGGCTGAGCATTGACCTATGAACCAGGAGGTCACGGTTTGATTCCTGGTCAGGGCACATGCCCAGGTTGGGGGCTCAATTATTTCTCATCATTGATGTTTCTCTCTCCCTCTCCCTCTCTCTCTGAAATCAATTTAAAGATATATATATATATATACAGTGAGGCCTTGACTTATGAGTTTAATTTGTTCTGTGACGGAGCTCGTAACTCAAATTACTCATATGTCAAATCTTAAAGTGAACGTGATGCTAGGCTGATGTGGCGTTCACTGTGACGTTTGCTGCGCCAACTAGCGGTGGGGTATCTGAAGCTGGCTCGTAACCCGAATTTTAGCTCGCAACTCAAAAGCAAAAAATCGGCTGAGAGATGGCTTGTATCTCGAAAAACTCGTTAGTTGGAACACTTGTAAGTCAAGGCCCCACTGTATACATACTAGAGGCCTGGTGCATGAATTCATGCACCAGTGGGGTCCCTCAGCCTGGCCTGCAGGATGGGGCTGAAACCGGCTCTCCGACATCCCCTGAGGGGTCTCAGATTGTGAGAGGGCACAGGTCAGGCTGAAGGATCCCACCGGTGCACGGTCAGGGCCGGGGAGGGACACAGCAGGTTGGCCAGCCTGGGAGGGACCGAAGGAGGGCTCCAGGGCATGTCTGGCCCATCTCACTCAGTCCCGATTGGCTGGACCCCAACAGCAAGCTAACCTACTGGTTGGAGCATCTGCCCCCTGGTGGTCACTGCACGTCATAGTGAGCGGTTGAGCGGCCTTAGCATATCATTCGAATATTATGCTTTGATTGGTTGAATGGCCGACCAGTCTACCAGACACTTAGCATATTAGGCTTTTATTATATAGGATATATAATTTTTAAACCTCACCCGAGGATATTTTTCCATTGATTTTTAGGGAGAGTAGAACAGAGAGGGAAAGACAGAGAGAAATATTGATGAGAGAAACACATCGATTGGTTGCCTCCTGCACATGCCCCCGACCAGAGCCTGGGCTGGGGAGGAGCCTGCAACCAAGGTGCGTGGCCTTGACCAGAATTGAATTCAGGCCGACGCTCTATCCACTGAGCCAAACTGGCCAGGGCAATGAAAACATATTCTTTAAAAAAGATGCTTTCGCGCATTGGCTCCGACCCATGTTCAGTAATAACTGTGTACATAGAAGATCGTGGTGGTCTGTTTAAATAGCTACGCACTGATAAATACAGAAGATGGTGTATAAATATTATTTCATATACAGGATGTCCCAGAAACATGTCTACACATTTTAACAGCTGATGGATCCACTAATGTTTCTTTCCAGCCAGACTAAGCTTTAAACAAAGGAAATTCACCCTGAGATGAAAACCCCGTTGAGGTGCAAACGCTGCCTTTGTAATTGTGTAAAGTGTGACTACATTCTGGGGGGACACCCTGTGTTTGCCACGGGGTGAGAATTCTGAGTGTTAGGAACGTGCAGATATTCAGATGCTCACTGTCTCTGCTTTAACGAGTGTGGAGATGAGGCAGTGCCTCCCTGGGACCAACATGAAGACAGGGATTGAGGACGCATTTCCCCATGTCCTTGCTCCTCGTCCTCAGGGCCTGGGTGTGGGCTGCGCTGCCCTGCGCCTGGCAGCTCCATGGCAGGGACACGTCTGCTCGCCCACGAGAGGGGCGGCCCCTCCTCCCTCGGCTGTGCTCCTGCCCGCTCTCCGGTCAGGAATGACGGTCCGTGTGTTGTCCCGTGTCCCCAGAACGGCTTCACGCCCCTGTACATGGCTGCCCAGGAGAACCACATCGAGGTCGTGAAGTACCTGCTGGAGAATGGCGCCAACCAGAGCACCGCCACCGAGGTGAGCCCGCCCACAGGCCTTCCTGTCCACGCTGTGCGGGTGGCGAGGCCGCGGGACCCGCAGCCGTGGCCGAGAGGGAGGACCCCGCCTGCGGCTCAGCGAGCAGGGGCCCTGATTGGGGGCCCATGACACTTTGTTCTCCCGTGACATCACGCTTCCCGGCTGCTCTTCCCTGCTCCCCAGCCTCCCCGGGTGCCCTGCGGCTCCCAACTCAGGCTGCGGGGTTTCCTCTCTCAGTGCTGCGTGCGTCACGCCTCCCCGTTAAGAAACAGGTTGACTTCACATTCCATGCTTCCTGTGCTGGTGCACATGGAACAGGATACACTGGATGAGAACCGTTTCCACAGACACAACAACAGCGACTGTCAACCGGCAGGCTGAGAATTTCTGAAATACGTCAGACCGACCCGTTTCCCTGAGATCGTCAAATTTAAAAAATGACAGCAGCTAGCACACAGTGTCCATCAGTGTGACTGAGTCGGAAGTATGCCTGTTTTTGTTGGTCAGATTGGCAAAAACATAATACACCTTTTGGTGTGCCACCGAGTATCAGGGCCATGAGATGGGCTCAGTTAGGATAGAAAACGTGCTTCATGCACACGGAACCGAAGGAAAGCTGGGGCGGCCCCACTTGGATCAGACAAGACAGACGGTAACACAGAGACCGACAAAGGCAGGGCCGGGTTTGCGTCCTGACGGCAGGCTTCACCCCCAAGGCGGTGGGACGTTTGTGACATTCAGGCCCCCGACACAGGAGCCCCTGAATGTATATTGATGTCAGGGAGGGAGGGAGAGGGAGAGAGACATCAGTGATGAGAGAGAAACATGGATCGGCTGCCTCCTGCACGCCCCACACTGGGGATGGAGCCTGCAACCCGGGCAGGTGCCCTGAGGGGGAATCGAACCGTGACCTCCTGGTTCCTAGGCCAACGCTCAACCACTGAGCCACGCCGGCCGGGCTGTAAAGCAAATATTGGCGGCCCTGAAGGGAGACACTGACAGCAGCACAGTGCTAGTTGGGGGCTCCCCGCTACGGCAACGAGGCAAGGGCCTGGCTCTCAACTCCCATCTCTGAGGCACGTTCACCCCATTGCTCGTTGCTCTGCTGTCCACCTAGCTGTTGCTCCCCCCCCCCGTCCCCCCCGCCCCCGCTTCCCGAAGCTCAGGCTAACTCTGTCGGCGTCCGCAGGATGGCTTCACGCCGCTGGCGGTGGCGCTGCAGCAGGGCCACAACCAGGCGGTGGCCGTGCTCCTGGAGAACGACACGAAGGGCAAGGTGCGGCTGCCCGCCCTGCACATCGCCGCCCGCAAGGACGACACCAAGTCGGCGGCGCTGCTGCTGCAGAACGACCACAACGCGGACGTGCAGTCCAAGGTAAGGCCCGGGGCCTGGCCGCGGGCTCCCACCGCCCTCTGTCCCAGGTAAGGCCCCGGGGCCTGGCCGCGGGCTCCCACTGCCCTCTGTCCCAGGTAAGGCCCCGGGGCCTGGCCGCGGGCTCCCACCGCCCTCTGTCCCAGGTAAGGCCCCGGGGCCTGGCCGCGGGCTCCCACTGCCCTCTGTCCCAGGTAAGGCCCCGGGGCCTGGCCGCGGGCTCCCACCGCCCTCTGTCCCAGGTAAGGCCCCGCTGGCTCCTGGCTGCGGGCTCCCACCGCCCTCTGTCCCAGGTAAAGCCCCGCGGGCTCCTGGCCGCAGGCTCCGGATGGAGAGCAGTCGGCCCCGTGTAACAGGCGCTCTGCTCGTCTAGAGGGGTCACTGACTTTCAGGGGGTTGGGGAAAGAAGGGGACTGTCAGGTACCGTAACAGAAAAGTTAAAGATAATCTTGTGTAGCCCTGGCCGGTTTTGCTCAGTGGATAGAGCATCGGCCCTCGGACTGAAGGGTCCCAGGTTCGATTCCGGTCAAGGGCACGCACCTCAGTTCCCTGGCCTTGGTTGGGGTGCGTGCTGGAGGCAACCAATCAATGTGTCTCTCTCACATGGATGTTTCTGTCTCTCCCTCTCCCTTCCTCTCTCAAAATCAATGGAAAAATACCCTCAGGTGAGGGTTAACAAAAAAAGTAAATTAAAAAAAAGTTTTTTAAAAGATGAGGTTCAGCTATTTAGAAAGTTGCCTAATTTTTCCATTTCTAGTAAAAAAGAATAGAAACAGAAAGGTGAGCGCGTGTCTCCTAATTCGCAGTGTGCTAACATCTCCCCTCTTTCCCCCACACCCACCGCTTCAGATGATGGTGAATAGGACGACTGAGGTACGGTACCAGCTTATGCCAACATACGCCTTGTTTTTATTTATTTTTTAGTTTTTGCCCAGTTAGAATAAGTGCTCACTAACTTCACTAATGATGGTACTTCCCTTATTAGGAAATTGATTTGGAAACGTTTCCCATAATTAAGGGACTGGGTAATTCCAGACAATGAATGTCGCATATGTCTGAAGCAATATTTACCTAGGGAACGTGTGGAATGGCCCGTTAGCGTGGAGCGTGGAGCCAAACTCCGCCTGAAAGCAGGTCCCTCTGGGGCTTGGCTGCTTTGCCGACGAGCTGTGCCCTCTGGACGAGGGTCCCCAGGCCCGAGCTTAGATGGTGACCTGGGAGGAGGTGTGCTGCCCGCCTCGTCCGGTCTCTGACCACAGGTGCCCCCCTGATGGGCTTTTCCCACATTGTCCGTCATCAGTGATGACACGGACCGTGTCCTGAGAGAGCACGTGCCTTGTAATGCTGTCTCAGTGCGTGTCACTCGGCCGTCTACTTCCAGAGCACAGGCAGTCCCAGCCCCCAGCACAGCGTCAGGGCAGAGGCCTCAGTGTAGTGCGTGTGTGTGCGCGTGCGCATGTGTGTGCGTGTGAGTGCACGTGTGTGCGTGTGTTTAGTGGCCTCTCCATGCCTGTGGCCGCCCATTGCCCGGAGGCCCTCGCAAGCACTGTTGAAAGTACATTAGAAGCAGGAACCTGCCCCCTCCCCCGTCCAGGGACTCGTATATAGATTTTCACTCAGACGGGCCTCTCTCGAGCGCTGGGCTGGAGACCAGCCTCCACACACAGTGTTCTGGGAGCCGTGTGTCTAGGCCTAGCTCCTTGCTTATCAACCACAGACCCATGGAGACGTAATTAACTTGGGTTATCATACCGTTCCTCCTGTTCCATCTGTGTGCATGGAACTCAGGGCAGAGATTAAAAAAACACAAAAACCAAAACACACAGGCCCATCTGCTTGGCGAGGGGCTCAGATGGAGCTGCCCGGATGGCTGTCTTAATTACGGGTTTAACGCCTCTCACTGTTTAGGTCAGTGGTCAGCAAACTCATTGGTCAGCAGAGCCAAATATCAACAGGACAACGATTGAAATTTCTTTTGAGAGCTAAGTTTTTTAAACTTAAACTATATAGGTAGGTACAGTGTTATTCACTTAATTAGGGTTCTCCTAAGGCTTAGGAAGAGCCACACTCAAGGGGCCAAAGAGCCGCATGTGGCTCGCGAGCCGCAGTTTGCGGACCACGGGTTTAGGTGACTCTGGTGGTTGAGATGCATTTCTGAAGCAGCCCTGCTCCACGCGTGTGCTGGAGGCGCCGTGTGGGAAGGCTCACACTGAGGCAGAAAGGGTCTGTGAGGACACAGAGTCTCGGGGGGGGGGGTTTTCCTGGACGACTGCGGGTGAGGAGCCCGCCCCCCCCCCACGTGGCTCAGGGACTCCCCCCGGCCGCAGGCAGGCGCCACCGCGCCAGGGAGGCCACCTCGGACAGTACGCCCGTTCAGTTTTGCAAATGAGAAAAATAATGTTTGAAGTTGGAAAAGATCCAGCAGCGATCGCTGTGTTTCGCTGTGATTCCACTGTAACGGGAATGACAGACACGCACTCAGGATGTCATCGGGTGGAGGATCTATGAAGGGAAACGTGGAGAACATACGCCCGTCATTCCTTCAGTTGTAAGCGCCTGGCATTGTATAAATCACAGCCGGCTGCAGACTGATTCTTCCCTCTGTTCTGACATGAATGTTTGGCCTCCAGTAGCCACAGAATCGCAACGCCCTGACCGCTGGGGGGTGTGGATGCAGAGCTGCTGCTCTTGGTGTCCTGCGTCTCTGCGTCAGGAATCGTGTGCAGTTAGTGTGGCCAGCGCACAGGAGTCCCTGCCCCTGAGGGTCTAGGGCAGCCGTGGGCAAACTACGGCCCGCGGGCCGGATCCGGCCCGTTTGAAATGAATAAAACTAAAAAAAAAAAAAAAAGACCGTACCCTTTTATGTAATGATGTTTACTTTGAATTTATATTAGTTCACACAAACACTCCATCCATGCTTTTGTTCCGGCCCTCCGGTCCAGTTTAAGAACCCATTGTGGCCCTCGAGTCAAAAAGTTTGCCCACCCCTGAACTAGGGCCTGATCTGGGTTCAAAAGGCAAAGTCTGTAGTCAAATGACCGGGAAAGCGACAGCCAGGATTCAGGTGACATTTCTTAAATACAGTGCTCTCCACACCCAGGTTCATTTCACACGAGCGAGAACAATGCTAGGCCACCTCACACGCGGGGACCGAGACCAGGCTCCGGGGCAGTCTGGATTGCTTCTGTAATCCTTTACTACGTAATGAAGCCACTGAAACGACAGCCAGGATAATAGCGCTTTGCGGACTTTAATAACAGAAACTGCTACGCTGCTTCCGTGAAAACGGCAAACCTTTCTAACCAATTTTTCATCAGAAAAGAAATGAAAATATACTTTCCTTCCATTTAAGAGCTCAGACATTTAAAAAAACGTTCTGACAGTAACAGGCCTCTAATGCCCGTATAGCTGATTTAACCTGCTTATTGTATTTTATATCCATCTTAGCTTATTGATCAAGTTTGGCTTAAGTAACATTCGAAATTAGGTTCAGTTGAATTTTTAATTTTATATTCACGTTGACAGCAAGGATGTTGGTTAACTTTGTGTGTTTTTTATTTCAAACTTTTTCCTTATAACCACGTGGTCTGACTGCCCCGCGTTAGGGTGAGCGGCCAGGACGTGCAGCCCCGAGAGTGACCACGTCCTCGCGGCATCCGCACGCCAACCCCTGCTGTCCATCCGTTTCTTAGGAAACATTCATTTTGAGTCCTTCTCTGGAGAAAGGATTTTAAACTCATAATTGTTATTCCCATGGCTAACACCCTATGTTGTTGAGTCGTTTTTCTCTAAAACAAAAGGAACTCAAGAAACCTGGTTTTGTACAGATGGCAAATCTCCTAGGTGAGCTGTGACGGTAATTAGAAATAACACCAAGAACGTGGGGGCTCACTGCCCTCTGAGAGACCTGGTTATTCCCCTCCGAGCACTGACAGGAGCCGTGGGAAGCGCCCAGGGCCTGGGCTGAACTGCGGCCGCCAGCTAGACAGCTACCCCTCGGTGTTTTGTTTTGTTTTTTCTTTGTTTCTTTGTTTTGTTTTATTTTTCTTTTTTAACCACATGGTTCTCCTCACGCTCCTGCGACGGCGCACGGGGAGGGACGGCCTGACCGATTGTGGTTCTCTCTGCTCCCCAGAGCGGCTTCACGCCCCTGCACATCGCCGCCCACTACGGCAACGTCAACGTGGCCACCCTCCTGCTCAACCGGGGAGCCGCCGTGGACTTCACCGCCCGGGTACGGACGGGGCGGGTCTTCTGCGCTGGCTTTGGGGTCACAGGGAGGCCCCTTCCCTTTCTCTCACCCCATCTGTGCCTGCGGTGACTCAGGGAGGCCCCGTCCCTCTCTCTCTCACCCCCATCTGTGCCCGCGGTGGTTCAAGGTCACAGGGAGGCCCTTCCCTTTCTCTCACCCCATCTGTGCCCGTGGTGGTTCAAGGTCACAGGGAGGCCCTTCCCTCTCTCTCACCACATCTGTGCCCACGGTGGCTCAGGGTCCCATGGAGGCCCCGTCCCTCTCTCTCACCCACATCTGTCCAGAGATACGGGATTTTCCTTCCTTCCTTCAAATCTCAGTCCTCCCAACCCAACACGTGAAAAATAAGTATGGCAACCTCCCCCGCACAGGCCGCTGAAGGTCAGGGAGCGCCGGTGCTGGCGTCAGGGTGAGCGGTCAGACTTCGAGCTCTCGCGTGGGTCAGGGAGCAGCTGCCAGTCAGTAGATAACTGCACGGTTGCAGCGTGAGGTGTAGAGCGCGTAGTGCATGTGCGCACCGTCTCCACAGGGTTGCGGGGCACGCGGTGTGGCAGGGAATGGTTCTCACGAACGGAGACTCTGCTGAGGTGGCGTCTCCCTGGGATGTGGAAAACGCCACGTCGAGCTGTGGGTTCCAGGGAGTGCTCTCATTGGGGTCCCCTCCCATGACCATCACACTCAGGGCAGGGGCGGTGGCTCCCGCGCACACGCGGAGGGGAGCTCCAGGCCGCCCTCGCACTGTCGGAGCGAGAAGCGTGAGCGAGGTGGGCGGAGCTGTAAGACGAGGGACGGATGGCTGGGCTCTGCCGTGCTGGGTGGAGCGAGCTGCAGGGACCAGGACGGGGTGTTCCCCTGGGGAGCTGAGTGTCCCCCTGGGAACGCAGGCTCAGAGACGCGGGTCGCTCTCATACGGGCCGGACACAGCGCGCAGGCAGGGGCCACGGCGCCAGGTCAGGCTGGGCAACCCCGAGCGGCCTCCTAGGAAAACCGTTGCCATAGCCGCCACCCGTCTCGCTGCAATGACAGCAGCTAAGGAAGAGGAGGCAGGGCGCTTCCCACGGTTCCAGGAAGACATGCCACACGACACCGCACGGGACGCGCTGAGAATTCAGGGAGCCGGGACGCAGCAGGAAGTAAGGCGGGACCCCGGTGTGGCCAGAGGGTCGGCCAGGGCCCGGGAGCCGCAGTGGCCTGTGGGCTTCCGCAGCCAGGAACCTGTCACCACAGACACGTGCTCCCACAACCAGACGACGGGTGTACACAGGGTCCCCAGTGGCGGACACAGATCAGAGCGGCTGGGGTTAGAGCGGGGGTGGAGAGAGGCCTGTTCCCTCTGTGCACAGCCGGGGGCAGGTGGGGTGCTGCCCATGAGTTGCCCACATCGCACACGAGAGGCTGGGAATCGGGTGCCACGCGTCAGGCGAGCAGCCTTCCGGGTGGGTGTGCGGCACAGAAACAGCAGGTGTGCAGGGTAAACACCTGAGGGAGAAGCAGAGCCAGGGCCTGAAACTCGCGGCCTCAGCAGGGAGGATGCTGGGAAGATGATTCAGGGGGTCTAGAGGAAGGAAAGCTCGAGATGGGGGACAGAAGAAGCCCTGCCCATTGTCAGCGGCCAGCGAGGGACACCTGTTCCAGGCGACAAGACCAGGCTCAGCGTCCCCGGAGCAGTTCGCTGACGGCCACGTAGAGATCGAGAGAACTGTTCCTTCTTACAGACCTCCGTTGTTGGGAGTATTACACGTGTCCCCTTTCTCCCCCATGGACCCCTCCAGCCCGCCCCGCCCCCCACCCCAGGCCCTCACCCACTATGTCTGTGCCTGTGGGCAATGCAGACACTCCCCCTCCCCGCCTTCCCTCTGAGGTTCCAGGCGGTTCCTGCTTCTGCGTCCTGGGTCTGTGTCCGTGTGAGGAGGCAGAGGAGCACAGACAAGGGAACCCAGGAGGCCCCACCGGAAGCTCGGGGGACAGAGGGCAGCTCAGACCTAGACGAGGAGTGTGACTGCCAAAGGCGGAGGAGGAGACTGACCAGGAGAAGGCAGGTGGGAGCAGTCGGCGGACGTCTGTGCAGAAGGCAGAGGCGGAACGGAGGCCTTTGGAGGAGAAGCCTCGGGAAGGAGCCTGGAGTTCTAGAACGCCCGGTGAGGGCTGCCCTGAACGCACTGGGGAGAAGGAACCACGGAGCAGGTGGGCACGGACAGAACGATTTAAGCCACAGAGAATAAGCCTGTCAGAATCCTCACAAGAACGTGTCCACAAATATGGGGAAAACCCAAGAGCCTGCGGGTTAGCAAGATTCAGTACACGTCCCAGTCTTCGGGAAAGGAACCCCAAGGGGTGCACAACCGCAGGACCGTCGCCCCAATTCCCCACGCGGGCGGAGGGAGGCTCACACGGAGCGGGAGGAGCTGGCGGTGCCAGGGGATTCGGAAAAGAGAGAGGCACTCGGACCTGGCGGCCAGTGTTCCCGGATGCTGGGCGCTGCGAGGAGCGTGTCCATGGGAAGCGGCGGCCGCTCTGCAGGCAAGGCGCCCAGCACTGACCGTCCTATCGCGTCGGCTGCCCCGCAAGCAGGGGCCACGGTCAGCACATGCCACAGACGCAGGACGGGTTCCTGTCGGCGAGGGCTTCAGACTCTGTTCAGTCTGCTCACGGAGCACGCGTGCCACACGGAAAACGGAGAGACTCGAGGGAGGAGTGGGTTTTGGCAGACGAGAGAGTCACTGAAGCTCTGCAGGCGACACCCTCTGAGGCTGAAGGAGCCACGATGCGAAACAGCTTCTGAAAGTGAAGGGGAAAGTGGCCAAGCAGGACGCCTCTGACCAATAGGAAGACGGGAGTCACGACGGCAGGAGGAAGGCACAGCTTCAGCGCAGACGACGGAAACACGAGGCTCTCGCTGACCTCGGCTCAGTCCTCAGGGCGAGTGCAGGCAGCAGCCAGCGAGTCAGGAGGGGCCGAGGCTGGAAGGACAGCCGGGGACACTCAGGAAAGGTCACCAGGAGCCCAGACGGGCCCTGGAGCGCGAGAAAGGCGAGTCAGCCTGAGCACGGCTGGGGCAGGTGACACACAGACGCTGTCCTACCTCAGACACCTCGTGAGGAGGCGGGGCTTTGGAAAAGACAACGATGCTGGGAACAGAGGCAGCAGGAGAAGAGGAGCCCAAACAGGAGGTGGAGGGGCTCACGCAAGAGCCACAGGCTGTGCAGGGCGGTGAGGATGGACACTGGACGGCACCATTCACAGGTCCCCGGGAGTGGGAGCCAACCTAACGGCATGTAAGACACACATGTAACATGAATAACCAAATGCAGTTAGAACACCTGCAGAATTATGCCATACCAAGAGTCAAGTCCGGATCCTTGCCCAGCGATGGCATGTGTTCGCCAGTGAAATAACAGGTCCCATCTGTGGTGTTTTGTCCTCGGGTGTCTCCTGCCCGGAAAGGGTGTTGCTTTCTGAGGGATCATCCGGGAGGCGTTGAGAACCGCCTTCAGCTGCTCGGGCTCTAAGGTGAGCACAGGAAACCCTCCGACCCAGGCTCTGGGTGGTGGAGGCTGGAGAGAGGACAGACTTGGACTTGGGCTCGGTCCCAGGTAGAACCTGACGTCGTGTTTGTTTCATAGACGTGCCCTCTTGACAGTCCGGGGCCCTTCTGTGCAGATGTGTGGCTGGCGACTTAGTGACGCAGCCTTATTCCATTTTCATTCTCTTGCTGTGGTGTTCTGTGGTTTGGGTGCTTTTGTTCCTTAAAAATGGAAGCTGTTGAGATGTAGCAGCTTTGGGTCAGGTTCCCCATGCCCTGTGACAGGTGCTCCCACATACTCCCCCGCCCACACCCGCGTGCTCCCCGCGCCCACACCCGCGTGCTCCCCACGCCCACATACTCCCGCGCCCACACCGCGTGCTCCGCCTCTCTCTGTAGAACGGGATCACCCCTCTGCACGTGGCCTCCAAACGGGGAAACACAAACATGGTGAAGCTCCTGCTGGACCGCGGAGGTCAGATCGACGCCAAAACCAGGGTGAGTGTCTGCCTTCTGCCTCCTGCCACCGCGAGGTTCTGTGTTGTCCAGAGTTCGCCCCAACGAGCCAGGCCCTGGACACGCGACAACCCAGGTTTTCCGGGACGTGGCTTTCTGGGCTTTTATTTAAGCCTCAGACAATGTTTATGAGTTCCCGTGGCAACATGCAATTTCTGTTTCTCCTAAGTGCCCAGAAAGCAGGGCCCCACCCCAGAGGAGGCACCCCCAGCCCCTGCTCTGGAGTTTTCTGGGAACGAAGGTCGCGGTCGGACCCACTCATCTCGTTTGGGTGGGAGATGGAGCCGGGAGAGTGGCTCTTCGGGCATCGTGCAGGTCGCATGGCTTTTGCTTCTAAGGCTGCGGGTCCTCAGTCATTTCCCTCCGGGTGGTGCTGAGCAGGCGCTCTCTGTGCTTGTGGAGAAGACAGCCGCTCTCCGCGCCCGACTCGGGTCGTCAGGGAGAGGGAGTGCCCTTCCTCTGTCTGTGCCGCCTTGTTCAGTGAGTGCAGTTCTGAGTGTTCACGCGCTGTCAGCAAACAGGCAGGGGAGGGGAGTAGGAGGCTGTCTCCGCACGGCCTCCCTCCCTAGAAACAGGAGGCCTGCGTCTGGCTAAGCTAAGGCGGTTCGCTGACCTCTTACCCACCCGCGGAGCCACCAGGACCCAGTCCAGGCACCGTGCTCTCCGAGGTGCAGCTCGCATTACAAGGACGGGAACTGAGGCCTGGCCTGGCTCTTGCAGGATGGGCTGACGCCGCTGCACTGCGCGGCCCGGAGCGGGCACGACCCGGCGGTGGAGCTGCTGCTGGAGCGGGGCGCGCCCCTGCTGGCCAGGACCAAGGTGAGTCTGCGCGGCGGCCCCGGCACCCCTACACGCCCCCGGCGCCCCGATTCTCCCTGAAACAGAGCATCCGCAAGCACCTCTTAGTATCTATATGGAGGAGTGAGGAACACACGTCAAACTTCTTAAATTACTTGAAATTGACACACACACGCAGTAAGATGCAGTATACACATGCCCGCAGGTTCTTTCTGTATCTCACCTGCTCTTCCTACTGCAGACGGAAACGTGAACATTACTGTGCTGTGAGTGAGGATAGTGTCCACACGTGAGATGATCTTACATTTATGATACTCTGTTCCCCAACAGTCATCCTCTTTTAAAGCAGCAAACTTAGCCTTACGAGGAGGCGAGCCTTCCAGCTCCCAGCCTTTGTCTCTCGGGCAGAGAGGTGGCGTGGAGACTGCAGTGCCATGGGGAGCGCGGCTCGCGGGCGTCGGCACAGACGTGACCAGGCACACGCTCTCCAGGCGGCACAGCTAGTCTCTCCTTCCTCCGCCTGCTCACCACAGGGAGAGCCTGTGCTGACAAACCACACAAGCCATGAGGTTGGCACCATTCAATGTGCATGGAATGGTTTATGACAGTAAAGTTCCCCACTTTGGTGACCAGAAACGGTCCTGAGACAAATCGAACACAATCACACGGCTGTTTCATGGATGCGCAGTGACACCAGGCCCTTCCTGCAACAGGAACTCAGGCAGAGGATGTGTCGACCTTCTCCCCCCACTTCACCGCCCAGCCCCCGGTCAGGCTTGGGATCAGCCCATGCCGCTGCTAGGGTGAGCAATAAAAACAAGGCACTGACACAAGCAAGTGTTTTCAGTGTGCACTGTACTTTAACTGAATATCGAATTGAAATTCTTTGTAGCACAGACCACACACTTGAAATACGTATGGAATGGAATCAGTCTTTAAGGGTGTGCCCCAGGCCACGGAAGGCTGTCTCAGATCAGAGACGGGAGCTGAGAAGCAGTCGACTTGGTTATGTTCACCCTCACGCACACCTGCACGTGGGCCGTGGGGACCTGTCTTTGACATGCGGCTCTGGGTAATGCAGAGATAGTTTTGGAAAGTTTCGTGGGGAACAGATTGAATTTAAATGGAAATTACAAAATTTCAGACCAGCCATGTTACAACCAGTAAAAAGCCTCTATCAAGCTGAGGATAAGCAGCTGACAACATTCCACCAACTACAGAACAATCTTATCGACGGTCGGCCCATAATTGCATGTCACTAATGAAGACGGGATTACCTAGGTGGCCTCCTGGTAAAATGAAATACCGTTCTTATGCAAGGGCCCAGCACACAGTGTCTGTGACTGCATGGTTACATTTATTTACCTGTTTGTTCGTTCATTCATTCATGCATTCATTTGTTTTTTCGTTCATTCATTCATTCATTCATGCATGCATGCATTCATTCACTCATTCGTTCATTCACTTACTCATTCGTTCATTCATTCATCACGCACCACCTAATTATCCTAGTGAGTAGCCACAGTGTGCCAGGCTGTGTCTAGTCAATAGGAACTATCAAGATAAATAATATGCAGTCTATATCTTTAAGAAGCTCAGAATTAAGTAAAAAGATAGAAAAGGAGACCATTACGCAGGTGAGGAACAGGAAGAACATGAACTAACCTAGTGACACCTGGCAGGGGCGTAAAAGGCGCCTCCTCCCAGTTCTTTCTCTTTCCGAGTCATTCCTGTGCCACCGAGAGGGTCGCCTGCGTGTGGACAAGGCCCCGCTGTGTCCTTGGGACATGCGCAGGCTTGAGGCGCTCAGTGGGTATTTCTAAAACCGAACAAAGGATTAAATGGTACAGATGTTATTGTCCATGTTGTCATGTGGATTAAACAGCACTAAGACCTACAGCATGTCTGCGGATGGGCACGCCCCAGTCCAGGCCTTGCAAGGCCCGAGGGTCTTGGACACTGTGCCCTTTAAACACACCTTTGTGCATAAATCCCTCATCTACTTGCCCTCTGTCCTAAGTTCATTTTATGAATTTATAATTGCAAAACCAGTAATTATGAGTAGAGTATTTCACAAAGAAGAAAATGAAGTCGCATATACTGCTGCAGCCCACAAACCTCCACAATTGAATGTGGGTGCATTTGTTCTCAGCTGTCCCCCCCATTGTCGCAACCCCCTTCCCGGGAGAGTAGGGGCTGGGCCCGTGCTGGTCTCTGCTTCTGCGCACATCATCGCTGCCAAACTGCGTCTGTGGTCACCATTATTTTCTAACGACCGAATGTACCCTAAGAAGAGGCAACAGTCTGCTCTCTTTAAGGAGATGTTTTCTAATTTAGTTTCTTAATCGTACATTTTGTCCTATAAGCTTATTTATTTAACTTTGAAAACTAAGAGCCTGACCGAGCCTGACCCCTGGCAGCGAATCACCACGATCTTGTGTGAGGAGTGAGGCTAACGTTGCTGTGGGCCGTGTCCGTGATGGTACATCTCGGTTTTCCTCAGACTGAAAAGCCGGGAGGTCACTGACCCTGGCCCACCGCTCCTCCCCTTTTCTAGCTCTTACCTGCCTGCTTTCGCCACGCCCAGCTCACGTCCCAGGCGGAGAAAAGAGGTCCTAGGACCGTGGGAGCGCAGAGCAGGGAGCCCGAGAGAGGCCCCAGGCCTCTCCTCTCGGCCCAGCATCACCTGCTCTGACTGACCTGTCACCTGGGGACTCTAACCCTGGTTTTCCCGGAGATTGAGGATGGGCTTTGCTGTGCTCCCGACCCTGCGAGCGATGACTGACGCGGCGTTTGCTTTGTTTTGCTGCGCAGAACGGGCTGTCCCCGCTGCACATGGCCGCGCAGGGCGACCATGTGGACTGCGTCAAGCACCTGCTACAGCACAAGGCGCCCGTGGACGACGTCACGCTGGACTACCTGACGGCCCTGCACGTGGCCGCGCACTGCGGCCACTACCGCGTCACCAAGCTGCTTCTGGACAAGAAGGCCAACGCCAACGCCCGAGCCCTGGTAACCTGAGCAGCCGCCCAGCGAGGCGGGTGGGAGGGCGGGCCCGCAGCTGAGCAGCGTGCAGACCTGGTCCACACGGGCACCTGGCTCCGTCTTGCCTTCACGGTCGCTGGGACGTGATCGTGGGCATGGAGAGGTGGACGAGAACACGAAGGTGGCGTGCCATGGTTAGCGAGTTGCAATAGAAAGGGCAGCTCTGAGTGGCAACAGTTTGAGCTGGAAAATAGAAGCTGACAGAGGGAGTGATAAAGTGGGTTCAGACAGCTCTTACGGGTCGGAACGAACGTGTGGGAAAGTTGAGCCTTAGTCATTCCTTTCTGGATGAGGCTGCGGTGGCCAATGGTCGGACATGTCAGACGGTGTGATCTCAGCATGTGTGGGGTTCCCCGGACAGTCCCCCCCGGACAGTCCCGCCTGGGCTGGTCACCAGCCAGGGGCACGAGCCGGCTCAGGGCCTGACGCCAGGAGGCGGTTGGCACAAACCTCCCGGAAGCCGTCCCTGCACCTGGTGTCTCCCGGGGCCTAATGCCGAGTGACTGTTCCCGCGCCACCGTCCTTCTAACAGCCACTGGCCGCAGGCGTGCACTAACTGTGTCTTGTCCCAACTCACACACGAGGAGCACACTTCCTCCTAGACATTTACATGGTTCACGTCCGTCAAGTCAGTCTTCACTCGATACTTGAGATGATAGGATGCCCTCAGAATCATCCAATAGGAAATCATGTTTCTGTTTAGAAACCTCCCATCAGAATCAGTGCATACCTCCCTGCTTGGGAAACAGATAGCCCTTCCGGGTTCTGTGCCACACGTGTGGAGGTATTTTCTTACAAGGAGGAAAATGCTCATTTTCAGATGGAGAATGGGCAGTGAGCTTATATAATACTAGGGGCCCAGTGCACAAAATTCGTGCACTGGGGGGGGGGGCGTCCCTCAGCCCAGCCTGCCCCCTCTCATATACTGGGAGCCCTCAGGGGATGTCCTACTGACGGCTTAGGCCCGCTCCCTGCTCCCCTTGGAGAGCGGGCGTAAGCCACAGTCTGGCCTCTGGGCTGATCAGGGCAAGGCATCAGCCCCATCACCCCGCTGCTGCAGCCACTGCCAGTCACCGCAGCCACCAAGGTGTTTTCACCAACACGGCTCTAGTCCCTTCACCATGAAAAAATGACAACTTTCTTTAGGCATTTTCAAGATGTGTCTTTCATAGGATATGACATTTCTTTATTTTTTTTTTTATCCTCAACTGAGGATATGTTTCCATTGATTTTTAGAGAATGTGGAAGAGAAAAGGAAAGACAGAGAGAAACATCAAAGTGAGAGGAACACTTTGATTGGTTGCCTCCTGCATGAGCCCTGACCTGGGCCTCGGCCAGGGAGGAGCCTGCAACCTAGGTACATGCCCTTGGTCAGAATTGAACCCACACCCTGTGGTCGGCAGGCCAAGGCATTATCCACTGAACCAAACCAGCTAGGGCAGGATATGACATTTCTTAGCCCTCCAGCAGCAGACCTTCGTTTTTTTCTCCAGGAGTGAGGTGGAAAAACCCTAGATCACCTTCTTGGATTCTTATTACCCAAGTTACTAAGAATATTACCAGTGGCATACAGGGAGCTTAACCAATGAGCGGTCAGAAAAGGTGTTTCCTCTGTAGTTCACACTGATTGCTGGCTCTACCCCTGCCCAGGCCTAAAGCCTCGAGGCCTGGGCAGGGGACCCCTCAGCTCCCTCCAATCACCAGCTTGGCCCCTGCGCAGGCCTAACGCCTCTGGCCGAGGTGTTAGGCCTGGGCAGGGGACCCCTCAGCTCTGATCGCAGGCTCGGCCCTGCCCAGGAGTCCCCTGGCTCAGGCCCTTCCTAGGCTGCTCAGGGCCCACATGGGGCCTACCTCGGAGTGACCTGGGTGCCGATAATGTTCCCGGGACCCAGGCCGCTGGGCGCCTATGTATGCAAATTAACCGCCATCTTTGTTGGGTTAATTTGCATACTCAGCTGATTGGCTGGTGGGTGTAGTGGAGTGACACCAATCTGCATGTTTCTCTTTTATTAGTGTAGATTGCAACTTAATTTGAAGTCTTGTAAGTGCTGCATCTGCTTACATCTGGCTCACCCACAGCCCATACCGGGAAATGCCTTCAGCCCTGGGAGGAGCAGGCGCTGGGTCAGCATGACCTCACGCCTCCTGAGAGGGGCGGGGCCAGAAAAACACTGGCTGGCGCTGTCCCCACGGTCACCTGCAGGGCACATGCACCCGTCCCCCATAGGGATCCACATTCACATAGAAATAGCATATTCAGTAGCGCACTGGAGGAAGTTTGGGGACACATTTTTCTTTTTCTTTATATTTTTATTGATTTCAGAGAGGAAGGGAGAGGGAGAGAGATAGAAACATCAGTGATGAGAGAGTATCATGGATCAGCTGCCTTCTGCACGTCCCACACTGGGGATCGAGCCCACAACCCGGGCATGTACCCTGACGGGGAATTAAACCATGACCTCTGGTTCATAGGTTGACGCTCAACCACTGAGCCATGCCGGCCGGGCACATTTTTATAGAACAGCCCCCAATTCCTACACATGAGCTCAGTGTGAAAAGTTCAAAAGTGCCTCAGACATCACCACATTCCTTTGCCTCTGAGAGATCTCTCCTTCCCATTATTCCAGAAACCCTCCACACTTTTCTTAAAAACATTCATGAATTTAAGAATCATTTCCCCCTAAAATAGGTTTCATGAACCTATCTTACAACTTCTGCTAAGATAACTTCTTATACACATTTTAATATAACATCAGGATGTAAAAAACTATCCACACAAATCATGCTTTCTGCTCACTGGCACCTCCTCCTGGAGAAAGTGGCAGCAGATCTGAAACACTGATTGTAGAGGCAGTCATGGCTTTGGAATTTAAAACTGATGAAGGGTGTTTATGCCTAAGATGTGGCCTTTCATCAGAAAAAACGTGCTCATCTCCGAAGCACGTGACACGGTTCACAGCCCCTCTCGCGTCACACGGCCCCTTGTCCTCCTCCGACGAGTTGCCGTGTTGTTGTGGGCGCTTGTTTCTGTGTCCGCACAAGCAGGACCCCACACAGCCGCCCCCACGGGCATGCCCAGTGCTCACTGCAGGGGCAGAGCCCTCCGGACACAGCACGTGTGATGATGCGGTCAGACGCCGTATTGTGCATGCCGTGCGTGAGTGGTTGTGCATGTCTCCCACTAACCGGTTGTCTTTTGCACAGAACGGCTTTACTCCACTGCACATTGCCTGCAAGAAAAACCGCATCAAAGTCATGGAGCTGCTGGTGAAATACGGGGCTTCCATCCAGGCGGTCACCGAGGTAGACACGGTCCCGGCTTGTCACGACCCCTCACTCCCCCATCTGCGCCCCCTGCCCCTCACTAGGCCGCCGATGGAGAGCCGGGCGCGTGCAGGGGAGTAAAGCTGCTGTCGTGTTGCTTTGTTCTGTCCGCAGTCGGGCCTCACGCCTATACACGTGGCGGCCTTCATGGGCCACCTGAACATTGTGCTGCTGCTGCTGCAGAACGGCGCCTGCCCAGACGTCACTAACATTGTGAGTATGGCCGGCAGGGCTGTCCGCGCGTCCGTCTGCTCGTGGCCGTGGAGAGAGAGCCGGTGCGGCTGGTGCAGGGTGATTGTAGGACTGAGCCGAGTCTGCGGGGAGGGCGGGTCGCTGGTCCTGGAGCGTCCCCACGCGGTGGACGCAGCCCACGCTTGGTCAGAGCTCGACTGACTGAGGGCGGGGCAGTGAGCTCCGGGGGCTCGCTGCGCTGGCTGGACGGTATCCCTGGCGATCTCTGTGCAGGTTCCAGGTCAGGACCCAGCCAGGCCAGTGCACTAACCAGAGAGAGGCTGAGTGAGGCTGCTCTCGCTGTAGCCACCCCCGGCCTAAGGGACACGGGTTTCCCACCTGCTGCCCCGCTTGGACTCTGTCTGGATTTGATTTTGTTGGTAGAGGGCGCCCTCTCTGACCTGAGGAGTTACATCCAATTTCTCACACACCTGGGAGGCACGCTGCCCCCAGACAGCTTGCTCTCTGCCAGGGACCTCGGCACCTGGGACTCCCGCACCTTGGCTCGGCCTCTGTGTGGGTGCTTGTCTGGAGTCGCCCTTGAGACTCTGTGATCGCTGTGTGTGCACTCCCTCCCGCGGGCACAGGGCACCACCGTGCAGGGAGCTCTCGGCCCCGGGCTGCTGAGGATGTACGCGGGCAGCAGAGCTCTGCCCCCACGAGCATCTGTGCTCGTGGTTAAAAGTCCCATTATCCAAGGCAGTGGGTCCAGAGAGTTGCTGGATGTTGGTCTCTGTCCCTGTGAGTCGTGAAACGACGTTCATTCCCTTCCTTTCGTGTCTCTTCTCGCGTCCTGGGGGTTCGTGTTTGACGGTTTCTGTGCTGCAGTGCCTGGTGCACAACAAAGTCCACATGAAATACGTGTATTTGATTTTAAATGTTACACAATAGTCCCTCTTCATATTACCGACAGTGGGAGCATAAAACTGTCCCAAAATGGAAACGCAAAGGCTACGTTGACCAATGTCCCTAATTACAGCGTGGGGGTCCTAGTTTCCGTGTATTTACTAATCTTCACTGGGTTAAGGATGAGAGCAATCGTGCAACAGGCCGCTTCTGAGAACTTTGAGAAAGGAGGACCCTCCTTTCTGTGGTCAGAGAGGAGCCCCTCTCGCTCGTGAATGGAGACCGTGCAGACCACTCACTGAACAGGGCCTCTGCTCCCACCGGCTGCGGGCTCCACCCGTGTGTCCCGATACTGCAGGGCCCCAGGAGAGATGACGATACTGTTAATGATCACGTGACGACGATAGCAATGCCAGCGCATCTATGAGATGCGTGACTGACACCTCCTGAGGCAGTCTTTTATCTCGGGGAGACGTTTGCAAAACCATCAGAGAGAACCCCTCTGAAATGTTTGTGTGACTCCGTGCTTCTTCACCGACCAATTTCAAATAGTTCAGCAGTTACAGGTTCTCCAGTGATGTCCTCTCCTCTGCAAAGGTAGGGACATGTAGCTTTCCACAAAGACAAACAACAACGTCGACATGTCTTAGGTTCCGAAAAACTTCCCCATTTGGCAGCTGCAATATCACACTCTGACTTCCATCTGTTGGTCAATATGGAGGCCTCCAGTTGTTTCATCTTCTCACGTGTCCGTTACACTCTCCCCCTTCAGCTCCCTCCAAAGACAAGCTTGTGAGGCGGCTGCTGAGGGAACCCTCCCCTCGACTGCTTCCTAGGGTTCTGTCTGTTTTCACTCGGGTACGATGTGTTCTTCAGGGAGAAGACACCAAGTGGGTAGGGTTGCAGGTAAAATACAGGACTGCCAGTTCCACTTGAATTTCAGGTAAACAACAAATCATTGCTTTTTTTAAAAAGTGTGTTTTTATTGATTTTTTTAGAGAGAGAGGGAGAGGAAGGGAGAGAAACATCGATCGTCTGCCTCCTGTACACACCCTGACGGGATCGAGCTTGCTGACGGGATCGAGCTTGCAGCCCAGGCATGTGCCCCGACTGGGAATCAAACCAGCGACCTTTTGGTGCACAGGGCCAAGTCATTGTTTTAATATAAGTGCGTCCCTCGCATGTCGGCGACATACCGTGCTGAAGGCATTATCCGTCCCTCGTCTGGAGGGAACCCTGAACCGGCATCCTGTTCCTTTACTTGCCGACCAGCAGCCCACAGCTGCCTGTGGCCTCGTCACTCTCGGGACGGGAGGTTTAGCTACGGGTCCCGGTCCTGGGGGTGATGAGGTCACTGCGTGAAACTGTCTGCTTGCTGTCCCCCCCCCACCCCCCGCCTGCCCGGAGCCTGTGTACTGCCTGAACCCATGTCACCCTGTTGGATGCCAGGCTGTCTGTCCCGCTCTGACGCTTCCAACCGATGCGGCGAGCGGTCACTGTAGCTGTCAGCAGAGTCAGCTTTAACACCCAGAAGGGGCATGCCGCTGAGCACCTGCTTCGGCCGTGAGTCGCCCATCTCTGCCAGTCCTGACGTATCTGGGATTTCACTGCTCTCAGCCCCTCAGCCACGCCTCCTCCCCACAACACGCACAGACGCACTCATGTCCAGCTGGCCGTGGCCACCGGCTTCACAGGTCCAAGACCACGCCTCGCAGAGCTGTCCAGAGGACAGGGCCCTGTTAGCAGATCAGTGGATCCCTGGCTGAGTTCTCGCTGCATGTTTGGGTGAAGAATCCCCCCCCAATCCTTACAGTTCATCAACTGGAGATAAAGAAAACAGGCATGTTGAATACCCTGAGGTGTGCAATAATCAACAGATGGAAGTTATGATTAAACTCTACACACCCTCTCTTTCTTATTTACACTTACAAGGGTAATGCACTAGGAAAAGGGAATTGACAGTACAGGTCGGCTTCCCCAAAGTCATCAGGAATCAAACACGATCCCTGGTGGCAGGGGAGTGACCGTAGATGTCTGCCTAGAAATACAAAGCTTGTCTTTGAATCTAACACTTAATACTTTAGATTTTTTCTGTAACTAGCAGTTTCAAATGTGTAAACACCATATAGATCACTTACCCTATATAATAAAAGCCTAATATGCTAAGTGTCCGGTCATCCAGTTGGCCTTTCAACCAATCAAAGTGTAATATGATAATGATATGCTAAGGCCCCTCAACTGCTTGCTATGACATGCACTGACCACCAGGGGGCAGATGGTCCGACCAGTAGGTTAGCTTGCTGCTAGGGTCTGGCCAATCGGGACTGAGTGAGATGGGCCAGACACGCCCTGGAGCCCTCCCATGGTCCCTCCCCGGCTGGCCAACCTCCCATGTCCCTCCCCAGCCCCAATCGTGCATCAGTGGAGTCACGGCTGGCGAGCGCAGTGGCGGGAGCTTCTCCCACCTCTGCAGCAGCGCTAAGGATATCTGACTGCCAGCTCTTGGACTGTGAGAGGGCGCAGGCCAGGCTAAGGGATTCTCCCCCCCCCCCCCGAGTGCACAAATTTCGTGCACTGGGCCTCTAGTCTATATATATATATATAAAAAGTCAGCGACTGGAACACTGTAATGACCAGTCGCTATGACGCCCACTACGGCCAGCAAACGGCCTGATAGTGGGTAGGGCCGGTGGCCAACCTCCTGCAGCCTCTCCCTCTGGCCAGCCCCACCCACGATGGGCCCCCACCACCACGATAGGCCTGCAGCCCCTCACCCTGGCTGACCCCACCCCAGATCGGCCCCCCCACCCTGATTAGGGGCAGGGCTGGCTGGCCAACCACCCATGGCCTCTCCCCCTGGCTGCTAGTTCCCAATCGGCCCCTACCACCCCATTCTGGGGCAGGACCAGTGGGCCCACAGCCCATCCCCAATCTGCCCCCCTACCCCAATCGGGGGTGGGACCCGCTGGTCCCTCCCCCCAGTTGGCCCGGCCCTGATTGGGCCCTTATTGGGGCCAGGCTAGCTGGACCCCACCTGTGCACGGATTTGTGCACTGGGCCTCTAGTTTTATTATAAAATGAGGGTATTGGAAATTGTAAGAATAGCATTTTCCATCTTGTCAGTAAACTGACGAATCTTGGCTTGTGAAGTGAACGTACACTCATTGTTGAGTAGGTGCTCTGGAGGCCTCTCTGGCTTAACTCCTGTTATAGGATGGAGTCTGGAGGTGTGTGTGTGTGTTTAACAGTTAGGAGACCTCAGCTTCATGAAGTGGTTCTCAACCTTCCTAATGCCGTGACCCTTTAATACAGTTCCTCATGTTGTGGTGACTCCCAACCATAAAATTATTTTCGTTGCTACTTCATAACTATAATTTTGCTACTGTTATGAATCATAATGTAAATATCTGATATGCAGGATTTATTTTCATTGTTACAAATTGAACATAATTAAAGCATAGTGATTAATCACAAAAACAATATGTAATTATATATGTGTTTTCTGATGGTCTTAGGCGACCCAAAGGGGTCGCGACCCACAGGTTGAGAACCGCTGGTTTAGAGACAGGCTTGACGTGACATAGAAAACAAGTGAGAAATGGTGGTTGTCAGAGAGGAAAGGTCTCGCCGCACACCTGAAGCCCGAAGACAGTGTTGCTGTCCCGATCGCACATCGTCTGTAAAACAGGATGCTCCCGGCACGCTTCCTCGCCAAAGTCAAGTATATCACCAGAACATGAGGGCACTGGAGGGCCAGAGAGCCATTCATAAAATGAAACATCAGAGTAGACGTCCAGTTTCATGCTTTCAAAGTCAACTCATTTGAAATGAATCCCACAACTTTATAAGGAATGGAGTCTCCAATTACTGGGAATAGAACCCAAAGTTCGCCTTAAATCCTCTAGGTTGAAGGGTTTCCTGTGCAAGGAATGAGAAGAAAGCACTCCTCGGATTTGTCCGACTCCCTCACCATGACCAACCTTGAGATCGGCTTAGTTACTTCCCGTGGCTACGTCAGCCTTCTTTCTAGGGCTGGCGACTCAGTGCTCGCTGCTAGTTCAGTGTCGTGCTCTTTTATGGCCAAACTTTATGGCTGAAAGTTTGCCGTGTGCAGAGCTGTAGGTGGTTTTAAAATAGGCTCTTTAAAAAAAAAAGGCAAAACCTTGCTTTTAGTCAGTAATGAACAGGCTTCCCAGTGATAAAATTCTCTAACCTCTAAGCTACTATTTCCTGATCAATGTGGCGGTCGATGGGCCAGGGATGCCAGGCCCATGCCCAGCGCTGCCCACCTGCGGACGGCTCTGCCACCCCAGCAGGTCTCTCCAGTGACTCTGTCATTAAATGGCTCATTACTATAAGGCAGGGAACCTCCTGGCAGGTCAGATTTGGTACAAACAGTCACTGTCAGGTCTCCTAACCCAATCAGGTGAAAACTAGCAGTTTATTTCGGATATTAACTTTGAACTCTGGGAAGGAACGACGCACGCATGGTGCAGATGGAGTGATGGTTGGAGTGTGCTGCCTCGACCTGCAGCATCTGGACTTCCTCATTAAAACGTGACCACGGTGGTATCACTAGTGGAGTGTGATCATGACAGGTTTTAGGTTGAAGAAAAGCAACGACATATCACAAATTTAAATCCTGCCGGGCTGCTTACAACACTCAGCCCCTGGTGTCCTGGGCATTTGGGTAAGTTTGTCGGCTCATTATGGGCTGAAAGGGCAGAGGAGTTGGTTGTATCCTATGAAGACAGAGGAGACACAAAGCCGTGGTTCCCAGACTGAGTAGCAGTGGAATGATTATGCCTTTTCATAGGTTTCCTGAACTTTGGGTTCACTGCTGAACGTCACAGAAAGCCATGTTTTATTCTTTGCCACCTGAGCACGGGCTCACTGACCCTGATGTCTTGTCTCGGCAGCGTGGGGAGACGGCACTGCACATGGCGGCCCGGGCGGGCCAGGTGGAGGTGGTGCGATGCCTGCTGCGCAACGGCGCCCTGGTCGACGCCAGAGCCCGGGTAGGTGCTGGGGCCGGGCCCCTCCCTCCAGGGGTGCAGGGGGGCACCCCTCAGGACCCTTGCATCGGGCCAGAAGGAAGCGAGCAGTGAGTGCAGGCAGTGGGGATGCCCCCGTTTCAGAAGCGTCAGCATTTGGAGAAATGTGCAATTCGGTATCTAAGAAATGCAGCCCCCACCGCCATTTGAATAATGTTGCCTTGTGAGAGACCTTGCACATCTACTTGTTTCCACGCATTTGCATTTACAATCTGCTGCTGTGGAGGTATGCACACATCTCACCCGTTTCTTCCCACCCCTGTGATGAGGTCACCCTCCTTACTCCGGCTTTCCTTCTCTGTCTTCCCTCCGCTGTCAGCAACAGAAGAACCTGGGCCCAGACACTGTTCGGTGGATTTCCCCGTTTCTCATTGTTCCTACCCCCCATCCCCCGCCAGGCTGATGTCTCTTCCTTAAAGTTCCTTCCGACTGCTGCTGTCCCACCTTCTTCCTCACCCTGGCCTCATCGGCAGTGTTTGTCCCTCTTTCTTCCGTGCTGTCCTGCCGACTGTCACACCAGTATCCCTGGGGTTCCCGGGGAGTATTTAGTCACTTTCTCTTCTTAAAAAAAAAATCTATATCTATCTATCTATATTGGCTCCAGAGAGGAAGGGAGAGGGAGAGAGATAGAAACATCAATGATCAGAGAGAATCATGGATCAGCTGCCTCCTTCATGCCCAACACTGGGGATCGAGCCCACAACCTGGGCTTGTGCCCCAACTGGGAATCGAACTGTGACCTCCTGGTTCATAGGTCAATGCTCAACCACTGAGCCACACTGGCCGGGCCACTTTCCTTCTTCACCGTCTGACACACCTCAGCTCGAATGGGCCACCTGACTCACTTTAGAAACTGTCCTGTTGGAACAAAGCACCCGCCGAGGTCTCTCAGATTCTCGCTCCATGTTCAGTCTTTGCTGTTAGTTCCGAGGGTTAGACCTGGAAACCCTAATGCTTCTCCCAGTCTTTCTTACACCCTCTGACTCCGCAGTTTTACTGCGTTTCCCCCCAGAACCAGGGGTGGGTGGGCAGCCTGGACAGTGCTTTGTCTTTGGATGGTATCGCCTTTCTCTCCATCGCACAAGTTAGTGCAATTGATGACCTTTGGTACCATCACTGGCACTTTGCTCTTAAATGTTTAGAGTTTTTGTTATTCAAACTGTATTCTTCCCTGCCTTGGCATTTTTCTGTTTTGTTTTTCCTTAAAGACTATTTTAGAGCAACTTTAGTTTTATACCAAAATTGAGTGGAAGGTACAGAGATTTCCTAAATGACCCCACCCGACGGTGCACTTGTCACAGCTCATGACCCCCAAGGACACGGGGGCGTCAGCCCGTCACTGTTTGCATCAGGGTGCTGGGCAGTCTGTGGGTTTGGACCTGTCCCTCCCACGGTGTCACACGGAGTCACTCCTGCCCTGACACCCTCCGTGGCTGCCTGTTCTCCTTCATGGGACAGTCACCTGCACGCGGCTATTTTTACAGAAATTTCATGGTCAGTCAGTGCAACCTGAGGAGCATGAACTTTACTGTTTTTACCAGAAATTGTGATAACATTCCTAATCACTAGTTTGTGATCCTTATGTAAGTATAACAGGGTTTCCCATTATCTCTCAAAAGAAAAACTCATTATATTTTTCTATTTTCAAATTTTAATGTGTTCTATTTTTAATAGACATTTGCTCTTTTTCTGTATCTCTGCCAATTTTTTTATGTTGCCTATGTAACCTGTTATTCTTGCCTTTTTGGTACCACCTGAAACCCTTCCTCAAAACCACTGGCCTCGGGCTCTTTTCTTGGAAATACTGTAGCATTTCTGTCTGTCTGTCCTGGTGAGTTTGAGGGACCGTGGGTAATCTTGGAGACTCATTTAATTCCTCTTAACCTCCTCCTCTGGAAGACGGCCTGATGGTGGATGCTGTGCCTCCTCTCGGGCCTGCTTTGAGGAGAGGGCCAGGTGATCTCACAGGAAGCAGCTCCTGGAGGGCACAGGTCCATGAAATGCCCGTTCTGCCCACCTCACCACCCTGAGGTCCACCCAGTGCTGTCTCCCGTCTTCCCGTAGCTCCTCGCACACCTGGGAGGGGCGGCGTCCTGTGAGCTCCGATTCCCTTTCCGTGTGTCCTCAGCTCGGGACCCCGCTCCTCCCTCCTCTTTGACTGACGTGCCCTTGGCCAGTGTGCGCTGACCTCATCCCATCACCGAGGCTGCCCGCCCTTTCTTTTCACAAGAGAACAGTTTGGTCTGGTTCCCTTAATGCTGAACCCGTTTCCCTGACCACACCTGAGAGCCAGGGGTTCCTGCAGCCTCCGCAGCGTGTCCTGCGTCCTCACACCAGCTCCGTCCTCGGCTTCCCGGGGAGCCCTTGGCTTGCATCAGCCCGTTTCCTTCCTGCCCCAGCTCCCATTTGCATCGGGATGCCGGTCCCGGACCTGCACCGCGTCCTGGGACATTTCCACGGGTCCGCTTACAATGTGCCCTCTATCCTCAGCCTCTCCTTAAAGCCAGGACCGCGTGTGGCCTTGGCTTGCTGGGCAGAGGGAGAGCCAGTTTCCCAGCATCCCTCGGGCTTTCTCTTGACCTGGTTCCCAGGCAATCAGCACCTGCTCCTAGTGAAACCTCCTGATGGGAATCTAGGTCTTAGGGCTTCTGGGTGCAATTTCTTTCTTATTCAGAACCAAGGGTTGGTTTCTATTTAAATGTGAATGAGGCTGAAGCCTGGCCTGTGGGTGTGCTTAGAGAACCACGGCCAAGATGAGGGAAGTACATACTTTAATTAACTCACCAGTTAACTTATTTACTTATTTTGTTGAATTTATGAGGATGACATTAATAAAATTACACGTTTCCGGTGTACAATTCTATGAGACGTCATTGGTCTATTGTATTGTGTGTCACCAACCAGGTCAGGTCTCCTTCCCTCACCATTTATCCTCTGCACCCTCTTCCATATGTCCGTCCCTCTAGCACAGCGGTTCTCAACCTGTGGGTCGCGACCCCTTTGGCGGTCAAACGACCCTTTCACAGGGGTCGCCTAAGACCATCCTGCATATCAGATATTTACATGACGACTCATCACAGTAGCCACATGACAGTTATGAAGTAGCCACGAAAATAATTTTATGGTTGGGTCACAACATGAGGAACTGTGTTTAAAGGGCCAGAAGGTTGAGAACCACTGCCTAGCAATAAAAGCTAAGGAAGATCCTGTGGCCACACAGGTCACCTCGTAGGAAAATAGGAAATAACTGCGGTCAGGGTAGTAATTTCCTTCTGCCTAGGGGCCCCTAGGGGCTCCCAGAAAAAGGAAACCATGATGCAAACGACAGAGGAGGCATTAGGGCTACTTGGGCACTGACCTCTGACCTGCCTTGGGTTGCAGGAGGAGCAGGTGGCACTGGGCTGCCCAGGCACTGACCTTTGACCTGCCTTTCGTTGCAGGAGGAGCAGGTGGCACTGGGACTATCAGGCACTGACCTTTGACCTGCCTTTCGTTGCAGGAGGAGCAGGTGGCACTGGGCCTATCAGGCACTGACCTTTGACTTGCCTTTCGTTGCAGGAGGAACAGGTGGCACTGGGCTGCCCGGGCCCTGACCTCTGACCTGCCTTTCGTTGCAGGAGGAGCAGACGCCTCTGCACATCGCCTCGCGCCTGGGCAAGACGGAGATCGTGCAGCTGCTGCTCCAGCACATGGCGCACCCGGACGCGGCCACCACCAACGGGTACACGCCCCTGCACATCTCCGCCCGCGAAGGCCAGGTGGACGTGGCCTCGGTCCTCCTGGAGGCCGGGGCTGCCCACTCCTTAGCTACCAAGGTAAGGGGGCTGCGGCCGCAGGAACCCACCAGCTCCCCTTCGATGCTGCCCAGAGGGTCGGTCTCTCAGGCCTGCACGTTCCCGCTCTTTGCTTCGGCGGAGAGCCGTTTCCTGGACGGTCGGAGGGCGCTGGGAGGATCGTGTCCTCTCTGCAGTAGGAGGAGACCCCGCTTTCCAGCGGAGGCCTGTGCTGCTTCCAGGCAGCCACCGGGGGCGCGAACCGAGAAGGTTCCCATCGAGCCTGGGCACCTACCTGCCCTTGTTCCGAGATAAAACCTAGGCCGTGTCCCAAGAGGAAAAGAGTGAGACCCCCAGGTGCACGGAGCCACGTGGCTCCCGAGGAGGAGACGGTAGCATCGGGCTGGGCGTCCCGCGTTGGTGAGAGGTTTGGTACCTCCGGAGCTCAGGTCGCTGCGCGCTGCTCTTGGCTTCTGCCCACTCCCGCTCCTGAGCGGCCCGGCTGCACCGGCGTGGAGCTCAGGTCTCAGGCCCGCCTGCAGAGCCGTGTTCTGACGTCACGTCGCTGCCCCCCAACCCAGGACGTGGGTGCGCCGGCCTGCACGCACCTGCCTCCACCCTGTGCAGGGCCGAGGGATGTCCTCTCCCCGATGCATCCGGTTGGATGTTTTCTCCCCGATGTGATGCATCCGGTTGGAAATGCCCCGCTTGGAGGGGACTGAGCACACCCAGCTCCTGGGAGTCCAGAGGGGACTAGCGCCGAGGGGTGGGGAGCAGACGGGGGACGCCCAGAGCAGCGGGGTGTCTGCAGGCTGAACACCCCCCCCCCCCCAAGTGCGGGAGGGATGCGGGTTCTGAGAGAGACGCGTGCACGTGTCCTGCATGGATGGGATGGGCGTGGGCGCTGCCCCGCGGAGGGCCTGCAGGGGAGACCCGCTGAGCCGGCCCGAAGAGCAGCCCTCGCGCCTGCGCGGAAGAAAGGGCTGATTCTTCAAACCGGAGAGTTCAAAGGGCTTTCAAAAAATTTTTTTAAAAAATCCGAAACTGAGCAACATACCCGAGTAGAAATTACAACCTACCGGCCGGGCGATGGTCTCATCAGGAGGCGGCGGTGGGATGCAGACCCGGAAGCAGGGAGTGCAGCCCAGGCCGCGGGGGTCGGTGGAGGGGGTGAGGCTGCGACCCTGACCCCGAAGCCGCGGGCCCTGAGGGTGCCAGGGAGATGGCGCTCAGTGGACCGTGAGCTCCGGCAGGAACGAGGACGCCTCCCATGTGGGTCCGCGGAAAGGCAGGGTTCACGCTCCTCCAAGGCCCTGCCAGCGCCCCTGGTTCACAAAGAAGCGCAAGGAGGACGGCTCCTCCTCCGAAACAGCGCGTGTGGTGACCTGGGAAGGGGACGTGCTGTGCGAGGGGACGTGCACCGTGGGGGACGTGCTATGTGAGGGACGTGCAGCGTGAGGGGACGTGCTATGTGGGGACGTGCTGCGTGGGGGGACATGCTACGTGGGGGACATGCTGCATGGGGGGAACGTGCTACGTGAAGGACGTGCTGCATGGGGGGCAATGTGCTACGTGAGGGGGAACGTGCTGTGTGAGGGGACGTGCAGCGTGAGGGGACGTGCTGCATGGGGGGCAATGTGCTACGTGAGGGGGAACGTGCTGTGTGAGGGGACGTGCTACGTGGGGGACGTGCTGCATGGGGACGTGCTACGTGGGGGACGTGCTGCATGGGGACGTGCTCCGTGGGGGACGTGCTGCATGGGGACGTGCTACGTGGGGGACGTGCTGCGTGGGAACGTGCTACGTGGGGGACGTGCTGCATGGGGACGTGCTACGTGAAGG